TCCCAATAATTTAAGTTCATTCTTTCTTTCAATCATAGGTACAGTTCCCGGAGGGGTTTTTTGGGTCTTTCCTCTCATTACTAACTCCCATGTTTTGGTCAACTTTAGCTTCATACGATTCGTACTTGACCAAAGCTTAATGTTTTTAATTTCACACACTGATGAGTCATCAGGAAAATTTGGCCCAATCGGAATGCTGAGGGTGATGTCATCTGCATACTTAATGAGCAGATTTGTTTCTGGATTCACAGCATTTATGTCATTAACCGTTATGGAGAATAACGCTGGGCCAAGGACAGTCCCCTGTGGAACACCCCTGCCAATTGCAGTGAACTTTGTTGTAACACCATCAACTACGACTCTCTGTTTAGGGTCAATCAAGAAATTAGTTATCCAGTTAATAACATAAGGGTTAATACGACCATATTAGATATGTATTTTAAGAAACCTCACTATTCACCCGCTATGCATGCTCGTTACGTTTTCGGGCAACGATACTCGCTCTTAACATAGCTCGCCTAGGAATGCCGCCGTGTGAGACCTCGCAATTTTTCCACGACTGGCACAATGTTTATATGGCACGCCAACGAACTAGGCCTAGCTTTATTACATTTGCTCACAAACCTGTCCAAAGTCTTCCATCAGTTTGCATTAAGGCACGTTGATGCCCGATTCTGATTTGGTGCAGGAGCATTGCAGCAGCTTCCCTCCTCCAGAAGATATATTGGATCGCCTGCGCTCTTAGAGTTTCGATAAAAACCTGTCAGGTACTCATTAGTAGATCCACACTTGGACTATCCCGTTTTGTCAAACGAGCCCCACCAGTTTCCTGTTCTGCACAGGCACCAAGACACATCGACAAAAAGCAGAATAACCAAAGAAATGAGGTAAATCTTCGTCGTGGTTTCAGAGGTGACTCACCGACGTACCGGGGAAGTGCGACAGTAGAACTACGAACGGCTCGAAAAACTGCTTCACTTTTTATACTCCAAGTAAACTCGTGACAACTCAGAACACACGTTCGCTTTTTAACCACTGATGTGAGATGTTTTCGTTGAACATTACGTAAACGTATGCAATCTATTCAAGGTAGACAAGGTGCTAGGATCAGAGTGATTGAAATTTTTTACACGATACTGTGGGTTACGTAACTCTTCGTTCAGGGTGTGGCAAAGAAAGATTACACATTGCAATCCGCTGACCAATGAATGCGGGAGCAAAATGGCCTCGATTTCTGGCGATGTTCTCATTCATAAATCGTTACCTTTCAAAACATCTTTTCCAGTGTCACTGTTTATATTTTCCTCTCCTTGATTAGCTTTCAAAATACCCAGAAACAGAAACAAAATACCAAAAACTTAATATGCATTATGAATATAAATTAGTAGCTTTATGTTTGAAAGGCGACTGAAAGAGCTTGTAGGACTTGGTTTATTGTAAAATTTGAAGCTTCTGGAGTCCTACACCCAAGTCTACATACATTTCAGTTGTCACAAAACGCTAAATTTCTAGGTGGCAAAAGGGTTAATGAGGTCTTAAAAAGGATATGCGTGCATTTCCACGTATTAAACTCACATTCCTCAAAGAATAATTTTTTGAGAAAGGTGAGAATGCTTAGTCTTTCCTTATTTAGAAGTGGCATTCTTTTGGCTTGGTACGAAATGTCTTTTTGCAACAATGGCAAGAACAAAAAAGGTTCTCCTCGAGCTGGATGAACTCTCTTTTCATCTGACAATATTTAACCTTTAGCCGTAAAAGCCATGACTCCATTAAGACCCTCTGGAGTGGACTTCATTTTGATTGACTGTTGAGTAATCGTTTGAATTCTTTGAGACACAAATTTTGTGCCAAGTAGACAAAAATTTATTTAAAGAAGTCTTTGGTACAATGCAGTGATGTTTGTCGCTCTGATGCAAAAGGCAACTGGTTGTAGATCCACACACTGGTGTAACTAGTGTAACTGACCTTGTGAAGAGGCTGAGAAAACTTGAATCGCCGTAGCAATCTTCTCTGAAAGTTCATTCATATTATTTTCCGACGCCGAAACATCGTACGTTTTGATAGTCAATTCTAATCATTTTAAAACTCTTCTTGCATAGTGCAACTTCTACAGCCGTTTATTATAAATAATTAAGTTCGAACGAGGCCGGAATTTTTCTTTTTTTTTCTATTGTAATTCCGGGCCCTATTTCAGGTCTAATTTATGCGCACAGTTCCTTTGCTCGCACAAGTTTCGAGTAGATTTGGCCAAATGTTAAAATGACCATGTCTAACAGTGCCTTAAGGTTTTCCTTTAGCTTACCTAGGAAAACTGAAACATGTGTTAATATTCTACAGTAATCTGCATCAATACATGAAGATTTACAGTTAGAAGAGATCGATTTTTTTCATGAAGAGTTTTGTTTAAATATTTGTAGCGTTTTCATAATGTGAATCAAGGTATATGGTATTAAAGCATCACCTCCTGTTTTTAATATTACTAAACTTTTTCCGGAATTGATAGTAATTTCTACTTCAAAACACTGGGATATTGAATAATGAAAATTTTTTACATCCTATCATACGTAAACTGAGTCGAAATACATTAACAGAAAGGAAAACCACCTAGCGAACGAAACTGAGAAAAAGATCTGCGTTTATTTTAAAATTCAGATTTCAAATTCGTGCATGAAATAAATTGCACTTGTGCTTCCTGTCAAACAGATGACTTGAAGTTAATGTCGAAATGAAGAAATTAAAATTCGATATCCTGTCTCAAACAGCGATGAACGCGGAAGACGGGTGATCGGCAATTTCAAGATGTCAACATCTAGTCACATTCAGAAACAATTAGGAACTCCCACTGGAGTTTGCCATAAGGCTTGTCTTGCAAAGGGGTTTGAGGAAATGAAAACAACTCACTCTAACGGGCGCACATCAAAATAATGCCTTCGACGATTTCGTTCGGACGCGAATATCGTGTTGCTAAAACTTGTCTTGAAGTGTACTTTATTCCTTATCAGTGTGATATGTTTATGAAGTGGTTTAAATATTCGAAAAAAATTGAGCAAATTTCCTCAACGGCACAAATTTTGGAGGTGTTTACGCTGGCAAAAGATTTCCTTTTTGTCATCCTTATCTCTTATCTTTAATTTCATTGCCAACTCATGTATTTTATGGGAAAGTGATTTTTTAATGTTTTATGTGGACATAAATTTTTTTCAGCTCTTGCTGTCACTATTTCTGTGCGTCACAGGATTGAAGCAATTCATGAACAATCGAATCACTAATTTAAAGCCACTGACTTTCAGTCATCGGGTACAAGCCATGGGGCCTTCCTATGCTCTGAGCCAGTAGTGATGAAAAATCCATTTAAAAATAGTATCCTGAGGTTTTTTGATATTACAGTTAATTGTACCAGATTTTCATGTGATATCTACTGGCAGAGATAAGAAGTCGTTAGGCTTGGAATGAATCTTTATCTCCATTAAAATATCCTCGCGATCGTATTCTAAATAGGGGGCGAACAAGCACACAACTTCTAAAAGCGGGTCATGCGATGCTTAAAAAAACACAATAGCGTCTACGTTACCTTTGTAGCATTCCATTCAATTCCGTGAATTTCACAAAAAACATTTGCCTTTTGCCGTGCGCAGTCAAAAGGATTGATAACACCGCTCAAATCTCACTGGTCGAAAAGCGTATTTAGACAACACAATGACCAACAAAAACACACAAAGGCACGCTTCCTTTTCCAAGCCAGCTTATGATAACACCAACTGCGCTTTGTTGATGTTTTTCTTTCGCACGACACCACGTGATTTAATTACAATCAAAGCGAACCGTTTACATGCTGTTAAGAGCTGAAGTCTTTTGAAAGTGTCTGTAATATCCAGTCAATCCCATGGGTATATTCGAAGTAACTGTTTTCTAAAATAACGCTACCTTCGCTCCTACTTTGCTCTAAATTGAAAACGATTGTTATTTGAGACCGACCATCATTCTCGAAACTTACTTAAAATATATCGTCAGCCTTTGATTGTAATTTACCATTTTGTAATATTTCTAAGCGTAAATGTTCTGTTTTACTGAGGAGGGATTTGTTTTGTAATCAACGTGTAGTTCATTAATACAACTGAAGTTGAGACAAACCTTAGAATGTATGATAAGTAAGAAAAAGCAAATATCAGTGAAACGTCCCAATATATCTTGCTACTAACAGACTTCTCAAGGACTGCGGCGGATCAAAATCTATGTTAGAAAGTTACTTTTAGAAATTCAAAGAAAGGAATTCATCAAGAGACGGAAAAAAATCTCCATTGTTGGTTACTTGATAAATGACGCAATAAATACCGGATAACATAGAATCTTGGCCCTTTAGAATTTGTTTTGTAAATATGCTTATCTCCCCTTGGTATAAAGAGGTCGTCTTAAATTTCCATGATTCAACCTTACGAGATTTTTCAGGAGTAGTGGTGCGTAGCTCGGGAAAAGGGCTGTGTTCTTCTTGATTGCGTGCTTTCAATAAAATGATGAAATTTTGACTTTCGAGGAAAAGTCATTTGACAGCTCAACACGACAGCACTGGTTTTCAACTAAACTTAAATCTGTTCTATGCTCGTTACGTTTAGTTTCCCCACCCCGAGATAGCATTAGCGTTGTACTTCACCCATCTAGGAGCTTGGTCCCTAAGGTGACGAGAGGTAGGATGTTTTCAAGAAAATCTTACGTGTTTGTTGACTTTAATTTTGTGTTCATTAGCGTCAGTGCTAACATCATTCAAAGTAAACTCCACTCTCATATTGGATCTCTCACTGTGAAAGTGGCCTCTTTCATTCTGCGGAAGATCTCTGCGTTAATTATTCGCTAGTCAAATCATCGCGGCTTAAGCTGTCAAAAACGTAAATCCCTCACGTCTCAAAGCTCTCCTGTCAATCGCGACATTGTGAACGCGACACACTTGAATATTGACTTGATGCGCCAGATAACGAATCGATCAAAATTGTGCGCTTCTGCCGAGTCAAATTTCACCGCCGAGTTCAGGTTAATATCACCCATATCGCGTTGAAACAGACACAAGTAACAAACTCACGTCGTTTTCATCGCCAAGAATTAGACAGTGCTCATTTTCTCAGCTGCGTGTACGAGATTAGTGAGGCTTCAAGATTTATTTGATGATAACAGTGGACATCAAACGCCAAAGATGTGATGCGTTCATTCATTTCACATGATGACCTCAGTTAAACCTTCTCCGTTCACCACTAGTGAAACGTGGAAAAATTCTGCGGCTTCTGTTTCTCTGACAGTGAAAGAGATGATTCCTTCCTCAGGGCCTCCCTCTACCAGCCTTGAAGTCCCCGAGCCCTTTCCATCGCTGGTAATTCGTCTGGCGCTATCCATTCTAATTCTAGTGCTAAACATGGCGGGAAACATTCTCGTGTGTGTAGCGGTAAGGAAAACACGCAAGCTGCGAAGTTTCAGGAACTACTATTACGGTCTGTTTTTGATGAGTCTGGCGATTGCCGACATGGCGGTAGGTCTCGTTTGTATGCCCTTTATCTTACTCTACTACGAGACAGGGAAGTATCCGTTTGGCTTTTTCGGATCCACTGCCGTTTGTAAGCTCATCCCAGCTCTGAGCCTGTTATGCCAGGGTGCTTCGATCTTCAGTCTAACAACCCTTACTTTACAACGCTTCATGGGGATTGTCTATCCAATGAAAACTAGATTGACCCTCGGAAGGGTAAAGTTACTTCTAGCTCTGATTTGGCTGTGTGCCTTTATGTCCGCTCTGCCACAAATCATTGTCATGGACGTGAATCACACAGTGCAAGGTGAAGACAACAAATTCAGCTGTGAAGAGTTCTGGGGGAATCCTCCCACCGACATAATCCTAAAGGAAGGGTATACTTTATACCTGTTTGTGGCTGAATATCTCCTACCTCTGATTATCATGGGAATCGCCTACAGCAAAATGGCAACGGTGCTCAATCGAAGGGATGAAGGCTTGGAAGGTAGAAAATCTACCAATAGTAGAACCAAAGCAAACCACAAGAAATTCATTCGACTTCTGATCGTCTTAATCGTGAGTTTTGCGCTGTGCTATCTGCCGAATCATGTGCTGTTTTTCTGGTTAGATTACGGCTCAGGAGCAAACAATCCGTACTTCAGTATTCTCATGAAGTATTCACATTTCTGTATTTGGCTTAACAGCTGTCTAAATCCTTACCTATACGGAGCACTTGACGATTACTTCAGACAGAGTTACAAGAAGGCGCTGCGACAATGCGCACGAATCGAGGGTAAGGCGAGAAAGACTCACCGTCATATCACGCGACAGTTAACCAAAATATATTCCTTTAAGACACCATCTACAGCAGATCCGGATTCGTCAGACGTACCAGAGGAGAGTTAAGGTGAAAAGCAACGCACGGAAAGTTTTATCTTGGAACACTAAGAAAGGACAAATTGCAATTTGTGGGTCGATTTAATATTCTTATCGTTAAGAGCTCTGAGTTTTAGACTCCAATTTCTCTGTGGCTGAAAAATATCAGAGATAAGGAACCTTTTACGAGGATGGCTCATTAGAAGTTGTCAAAAACTGAAAATGATTTGTTAACAAGAAGACCAACTAATAGCCCTTTTGGAAAAGAACTACCCGCGAAAGGAGATTTTAATTTGTGGCTTATAATCATCGCTAAACCGCTTTGTTTTTGTAGTCATTTTGGATAAATAATTAAGCTTTTAAAAATCTTTATTAGAGGATTGGTTAAACTGTTCAAGGCGGGGTGATGTGTCGCATAGCGATTCCGCGAGTATGTTTGCTAGCTTCAAAGACGTGTTTGAATTTACTTTGACAGAAATTTTGTCTTGTGGCATTCCTGTCATTTCTGCTTTCACTCTGAGTCAAACGCTTTGAAGCGTTCTTTTCTATGATGTATTTGTTCAAGTTAGATTGTAATTCTTTGTACATCCGGTGTCAATTAGTTAACACTTGCTTATGAACTCATTCCATTAATGCTAAGGCACTCTAGAAAAACCCTTACAGGAAATTCGTAACACCTAGAGACAGGCGCCAAGAACAATTTCGTGAGTTTCTAGCGGTGGGAGGTCCATACAGCAAACCACCCCTCGCTTTAAACACTCAGATCGCTTTGCCCAACCGAACCACAAAACACGAGCGTATCAGCCTGATTTCTGTTTGACATTGAAAGAATTTGACGGCTCTAATAGTTCAATGATTAGTTAAATCTATGTACTTTACAGGCTTTAGAGCTGTCCACGTCACTTTTGGAACAATTCATTACTTCTAGGTCACGAATGTGATCAATTCTAAGACTCTAGTTAAACAAAGGCAGTTGGATATTTCAGGAGTTTGAGCGATTAATTCTTACTTCATTTCAAAAGGACATAGGCCTGTGTCTGCATCTGAAAAGATTTCGGCAAATTTATCACATTTTAAGATTTTAGATAAAAGACCCTCAAGCAGACTACAATAGGCGTTCGTTGTTAATTGGCTTTGGTTTTAAGACAAAGGTTTGGAGTGCTTTTGACTAGTTTTTATCTGTCATTTAGGTATAGTTAGACAGTTCTCGGTTTTATGAGTGTTAGTCACGGTTTTCTTCGAAGAATAGTGGTTAATTATCTTGAAGACTCCGAACTATTATCCTTTATATGTACATGAAAATAAAAACAAAATTCAAAGGATGTACCAGAGTAAATGGGATGGCCAAACTTAAGAATCTGGAGGCGTTACAGTACATTGTCACAAAGCTTCAACATTTTAATTACGAAATCTCTCGATGACACAAAGTGATATACCTTTGAGTCTAAACGCAATTAATCTTTTGCTTTCACTGATAAAAAAGGGAGTTTTATCCACAGCAGTTTTCAATTAAAATGCTTTAGCATATGTCGTGTTTGTGAAAAGAGGAAACAATAAGCAGGGGTGTAATCTATATCTGTGTAATGATTTGGTTTTGAGGGCTCACCGGGAATATAGTGTGGAATTCCTTACGAAATAAAACTCTGTGTAACCACTGAATAATTACTTGTCAACGCATGTAAATATTAGTAATCGTCAAATCAGCCTTATTGAAACATTTTCAACATTTAATTAAAGGATATGATGTCTTTGAAAGGTGACGAGGGGTTCCATTTGGCTATCGTTTTATTAATTACCTGGGTACCCCTTCGGTGCTGATTCGTTTTCGATCCCTCAATGTGTTCAACTTGTGAATCGACTATGCCGTAAAGCTGATATTTTGTAACTTAGAACGAAGCCATCAGATTTCTAAAATTACAGATGAAATCAGTCCGACCTTTCTCCATGCAAAATTATTTCGCAAAACCGTCGCAAGAATGTCGTGTTCAAAGCAGCTCCGTTGTTATCTTGAGATCTAAATGATAAGAAAAAAGGAGATGCTTCCATCAACACATCTTAAAGAATGCTGCAAATATTACTGCTGTTAACAAACAAGGAAAAAAATTAGGAAGATGCACAGGCATTGCCGCGCTAAATTCTACAACCTCTGCCCTTACTGAGGAATCACTCTCTACAGACCGACGAGAGATATAGACTGAAATGAATCTCAAGGGCATCCGTTAATTATGATTCCGTTCATTCACGAATTCCATGATTTGTGCCCTTTCCGCGATGGTCTTCTGACTGTTATTTCTATGTAATTACCCGCGAAAGGTTTTGAGAGAGATAACAAAGGTTACTTTTTATGTTGTGTTTAGTTGGCTGCTTTTGGCACTTAAAATTAAGTTACTCGCATATTCCATTCGATATAAGAAATAAAACGAAGATATGATCATATGTCACCCGTTTTGTTCTCAGTTTTATGGAATGAAACCACTTGAAATTAAATACGTTTATTAACTGTCTACAAGCCATTAACTTCTCCTGGGAAGCTAAACCACGGGAGAGGACCAGGAAGAGCGCTTACGCCGTCTAAGCAACGGAAACAATTATCTTCCACATCTATAGCCATCTTAAAAAACCAGGTTCTCAAATGCATCTTAAAAAGGCGGATTAAAATCAAGCCGGGTGTAAGGTGGCACATTGGTGGTAAATTGCCCGAGGAAAACGCAAGACCTTGGTAAACGTTATCAAGAATGATCGTAACTCATACTTAACCGGCCGTAATTATGACCCTTCTTCCCTAAGGAAACAAAAGAAAAATCTCAGAAATTCAGTTTTCAATCTATTCTTGTGTTGTGTCTCAGTAAAACGTGCCTTTAAACAAACTCTGAAGTCACGTTCGCTGTGTCATGTTCAGGGAGCGTAAACAACCATAAATCTCTATTTACCCCAGCACAGGCTAATCTCGAAGATTCTCAGGGACTCAATGACACCCCGATAAACCCAAAACAGCTAAGTAGACAAATGTACATTTTAAAACTGCTTCTAGATTTTGTATTTTATGAACATAAATGTCCCCTTTTGCTATTAGTTAAACCCGGAAACTTGAGCAACGCCCCGATGTGTTATTTGAAGGTGGCCTAGCTTTAAATAAAGGCTGATAGTTTCTAAAGAAACTGTTTGGGGCTGCGTCGGTGGGGGTAACGAAATAATTTGGATATATCAACAAAGTTGAAATGGTAAATTGGCCACCGTAACGATTACAAAAGCTGACGTTTCGAGCGTTAGCCCTTCGTCGGAGCGAAACTTTAAATAGATACGGAAACAAGCCAACAACAACAACACAAAAAAAGAACATAATTAAATTTTATCGATAGAAGTGATCTGCATGCTGTGGGTCCTCTAAAATACAACCGTGGTTTGCAAGAAAATCTGCATGGATGGCACTCCTCCCAACTATGCCCTTTAGCTAGAATTTCAAAAATTCACGTTTCGCCTTTGTCTAAGTCTCATTTTTGTTGCATACCGGATGAATCCTTAGGAACGTTTCCATAATTGAAAACATTTAAGGCCCTCTTAAGAGTTATCTCACTGTCCTCTATATATTTATGACATAATGGCGTGAGCATTTTCTTAGAATGAGAAGCCTGCACCACGGATCTTTTTTTTTTTTGAGCCGTTGAGCATATCCGTAGATGTTAATGAATTCCTCGCCGAAAAAAAAATCGATCGCAGTCTAGCCACTCTGATCCCCCAAGGGAAACACAAAGCTGAGGAATAATTAGTTAAAAAGACATTACTAATGTGCCACGGCGGTGGGAAAACGAAAACCACCAATCACTCTTTATCGTGTTAAAGAAGAGGAGTTAAAAATTATGATTCTCTAAAAATGTATAATCTTGCAAACTTTCAAAAATCATCTTTTCCGGGCTTAAGGACATCCGTGGACGGTGGATAAACTTCAATGCTTATAACAGTTGTTCATGAGACGATTTGAACAGAGGATAAAAACGAAAGAAAACCTATAATCATCTTCCGTAACGTGTTTCATTATAAGCTGGTTTTATCAATGTTACCATTAGCTTTGTAAGCACCATATAGGGTTTCTTAATAATATTCCCAACTGAGTTTTTGGCATGCTTCAGATTTCCATTTTTTTTTTTTTTTAATCCTTTTGAACAGCTTTTAAAACGATGCAAAGGAACAAGAGTAACAAAAACAGCAGCGTAACATTCATCGTTAAACCCCCATATGAAATTTATATAACGATAAGCTTTTCACTGGAAAAGATTAAAAAGTCATCTTCTCAAGCTATGCACCCAGATAAGATCATGGCTAACTATATGTAATTCTTAAAATGTTACGTAATGAAACGCACTTACCATCCTACTGAAATTGACCCTTTTGAAAACCTAAAGATCCTGGGTCTTAATAAGGATGAATCCCTTTCGGTCTAAGGTTCTGGTGAAAACAACGCGCATGCACAGCTTTGTAAGATCTGTAAAGAAAAAAATATTTGAAAATGTTTTAGAAATTTCAAAGTATCTGTCTGTCTCTTCCCAACTGTTTTTTCCGAATCGATTTAAGTCGCTGTCTAGAAATCCTAAAGTCGTCACCTTTCTGAGGTTTTCTTTCTTTTGCGTTTTTAATGATAATAAAGGTTTTGCACGGCAGCCATGTTGGATTGCAGGAACAATAGATTATTTTACCCATGGGAAAAAATTTACTTTCTTATGCAAAATATTTTCATTGTTCCTGCCATCCAGCATGGCTGCTGTGCAAAACCTCTTAAGGTTTTCCCAGAAACGACGAACGTATATGTATCTTGGAAAGCCAAAACCGTACAAGCTTTCCTTTATCGTGTGTTTGGGTGAAAGATGTTTAAAATCTTTGATGAACGGGATATTTCCTTCAATAATTTTCTAACCCCTAGTCAAGTCTTCCAAGTTTGTGGGTTTGAAAAAGTTTTGAAGAGTAAGTAAGCAGGTAAATTGCCTCTCCTTTGATTTTCACGGTCCAGCCAAATCGGGTGCAGGTCCACTCGCTATCCTGTCATTTATACAAAGAGGGTCTCAATGAGGTTAACCGATGGCCATAAAACGACCAATAAAGTTAGCCGTTAGGCGTTAAAATACACAAATTTTAACCGATAGTCGTAAAAATAGTTAACCGTAAAAGAAATTTCTGGTGACAACAATGAAATGATATTTAACAACTATTCACCAAGGTAATCTGGATTTTTTCAACTGGGTTGATAATGAAAATTGGCCACCTTGAAGAGTTTGAAAGCTGACGTTTCGAGGGCTAGGGCTCGAAACATCAGCTTTTAAACTCTTTATGCTTGCCAGTTTACATTATCAACTCAGTTGATAAAACCCAAATTATCTTAGAAATTTTTGCTTGCTGGAAAATGAGGCACATTCGAAATGCTATCATAGCCACTTTACGAAATTTACTGGGACGTGCAAGTAATTCAAGCTAAAGAGTGGTAACCTCCAGTTCGTCGCCTTTTTCCTGGCAGAGACCATGCCGGAGTTCTACTCAAAAGAAGGCTGATAGATGTTTGTACAAGAGAGCGAAGTTTGAAATAAATACTCAGAATTACTCAGAAAACTAGAAGTCAAAGCAGGTGATTATTGTGAGGCGAGAAGCGCTCGAAAGAAAATTTAAACGTGGAAGAGGCATTTGCCTTTGTTTTACGCTTACCTCTTCTGCAAGGTCTTGTAATCGTTGGAAAAATCCTTTTACATCTGAGAAAGTGGAGGTGGTTAGTGGTGGATATTTACCGAGCCGTGAAGGTGAATAGTTGTATTAGCATATACTAAAACAGTGAGATAATATACACCACCGTCGTTAATTTGAGTGATTTCTTCGCTTGTCACGGATGCAAACCGGGACGCCATTTTTTCCCGAGTGGCTCCGAGGTAAATAGCAAAGGATAATCAGAGTTTGACAAGCCAATCAGAGCGCGCCTTCAACGCTATCCACTGTTTTAGTATATACTAATAACCGTTAGTCGTAAAAGGGTCAAAATTGTAACTTGGTGGTCAGTTGATAATCAGTTAGTCTTAATCACTTTTAATAATGTCCAACTTTTGCTTTCTATTAAAACTTAGGGCAAGAAGTGGTGTGCTTTGTTTGAAAATCGTGACTATTGTCCAGCTCAGTTTCCTCTTCGAAATCCAAACAAAGCAAATCAAAACAATCAAACTAGAAAAACAGAAAGAAAAGTGCTATCACCTGCTAATGTTGAACTATCTGGCCAATCATCACGTATTGTAGATGCCAAGCATTACAATGCAGTTTGGTGTTTGATAAGAATTGGCAGTCAATTTAGAATGACCTTCATCTCAAATCGCAGTGACTTGAATTGTCATTTAGAAAAAGGAAAGTATTTGGTAATGCCTAAATCCGAAATAAGGAACCTCAAAAATAAAAAATTATTGCAAAGCCTTAGCATTTTAACAAAGCCCCCGTATTTTGTTTGGGCTTTCTACCCCCGGCCTGAAATCGGCTTACGTAGTCACGCAGAAAGGTGGAGTTTTTAAATCCGTCCGGAGAGGAAAGAATTGATGATAAAGGCGGAACTTAACAAGAACTCTAAAGTCACGTTCTTTCGTAGAAATTGTTAAAACGAGTTGCAATTTCTCCTCCTCATAAAGGTTTAATGATAACAA